AAAGGAATATTCTCAAGCAGAGTTTGATCAAAACATCACTTTTAAACTTCAGTCACCAAAAGGATGTATTGAATTAATATTTAATGATGAGCAACAAACAGAACCAACAACTGGATGGAGAATAAAACCACATTTGGACCCATGTCAAGTAATTATTTCATCTAAAGTACAAAACAATAATAGTTTAATTTTATTATATACATGTAGATTGAAGAGCACGAAATACTTGGTTTTGGTGACATTAGTACTACAATTCCTCCATCTTGCCTGGTATCAATATATGCTGAGAATAGTCTCCATACTGTACCTAACTTGAGTTATTCTGTACCATTGAAAGGAGTACAAAAACGAAGGAAGATTAAAATTAACAGGTCACTGAGAAATTTATTAAGTATGTATTTTTTGGTATGGTGTCAATAATAATTGATATAATGTATTCGTGTAGATGCAGGTAATTTTGTTGGTACTAAAGACTGATGTTCCTATTCCTGGTTCACATAATGACATCAAGAAGCATCTTAATGATCTGAAACGTTTCCTTTCAACTTCAGAAGCAAAGTTTCGTGACATAGCTAATGGTTGTAAGGAGGTACAAATTATTGATTCTTCTCAGTATGATGAGTTATTTGATGGAATGAATAACCAGTCTTTATCAAAAAGAGTAGAACTTTTCATTGGAAATATTACATTATTAATTGAACTTTGTCCTGATCACATTAGTACATTCTTGTCTATACTGAGGGAACAGGATCTTGTTGTTCTTTCTACATTAGCTGACAGGATTGCTGCTTCATGTAAGTTATCAATCATCACAATAATTTACCTTATCCCATACATTAGTAAGTAGATGAACAAGATAATTATTACAGGAGCAATGACATTATAAATACTTAATGTTTTTATGCACTTTTTTACCTTATGTGATGTGTGTGTAGTTTTGTGTTTGTATTTAACTTAACTTAACAAAAGAGTTTAGAAAGATGCCTCAAAACTATGATACATATACTATGGACATCATGACATGTAACAGATACTCATACTGGGCATAGATGCACTGCAATGGGTGGCATTGGGATTTTTATTGCTGGGCTGGCGTACTACGAGTGGGTGGGTTGTAGTTTAGATCACGTAATCATTGTCAGCCCCATGGCCCAACCTTCTGAATAATGGCTTTTAAGTTTCCTTCTCCTTTCTCTTCTTCTGTACCAGTAGACTCTCCAAATCAACTGACAAGTATATTTAATTGTTTATTTCTTTTATTAAATGAAATTATTTAATAGTTAGTGATCTGACTGAGGTACTTCTATTACTCAGAAAACCCAGACCTAGGCCTATTTCATATTTTGGAGCTCGTTTTGGAGTCATCAATTACTATACTCTTGGTCTATCTCCTGCTACACTGGATGCTATTGCATTCAACAATAAAGGAGATACTGAGGGTTGTCTGCTTGACTGTCTTACTAAATGGTTAGAGAAAGCTGATGATCATGTAGTACAGTGGACTAAAGGTGGTCCTACTTTCTATTCATTAGTATCAACATTAAGGAGAATGGAGTAGCTGATAGAATAGATATGGAGAGTGAGTTTAATTAAAAATGAGTGTATCATTTATTTTTTTATTGTTTAGTTCATCCTGCTTGTAGAATTCTTGTTCCTTATTCCTCAAACCCATCTCTACTGACTACATTACCTCAGCTGGTTATATATTTGTATGAAGCAGGCCTGATACAAAAGATGATTGTTCCACGTTATATGCAAAAAGAATCACTACTGGGTGAAATAAAGGAAGCTGTTTGTGCTAATTTTAGAAAACTTGAGGCATTTGCTGATATTTTATGTAAATACACAGCCACTGCTGAGATAGGAAGAGCTATTATGAGAAACTATGGTAAGTATATGTATTGTAACATACACCAGTAACTAATGATTCTTGTATAGGAGAGGCTTATGGGAGTGGTGATATTATTAAAACTGAGAATCGTAAGAATTAATTATTTACAACTCATTAATTACTTTATTGAAGGACTTAAGATTTATCTCTCTAAGAGTGTCACTACAGAATTTAGGTTGATGCGAATGAAGTTTTGGGAAATATTCTTTATATTAGAATCAATTATAATAAGGAACCCTCAGTCTCTATCTCTTGACGATATGAAACGTGTACTGGGTGAATACTACAGCTCATTATGGCTTCAGTTAGCTCAGTGTAAAGATATGAATGACATTCTACAATTAATACGTGATAAAAGTTCACTTGGTGACATTAGTACGCTTGAGCTTCTTGATGATGAGTTCAATATGAAGGAGGCTAAGCCAGTTATTGAGGAATATAAAGAAGCTGTTAAGAAATTAAAAATGAAACTTCGTCAATTTTTGGAAGAAGAGCTTTTAAAAACTTTATCAGTACTTGAGTCTGTTACGATTGTCATTAATAAAGATATTGACTATTCACTACTTAAAGACATACAGAGACTGTCATCAGCTTTATTATCACATCGTGTCAGATTAAATGTCATTAGAGGTGATGGTAACATGTGGGAAGATAATAAACGAGAATCGTCCACTGATACTTATGTAAGTCCTGCTGTACAAAGTAAAGATACCACACTAACAACTGAAGTACCAGCAAGTACATCAATATTATTAATATGATACATAATGTAACTATTGAGTATAGGAACAACAGAAAAGGATGAGGATACAGTTACGTTGCTACAAGAGAAAGTTGAAAGTATTCAAAAGCAACTGGAGGAAGAAAAGGAACTCCATGAAAAAGAGAAAGAATTTCATGAACAAGTTATAAAGAAATATGAAGAGAGAATAGCAACACTTACTGAACAACAGGAGGAAGTTACTGGAGACTCGAAACACAAGACAGAACAATATGAAGAATTTATATCAGGTTATAGTGTTATTAATAATTATTATTGATCAATACTGCTATATCATTCTTATATTTTAGACAATGAACTTACTCATAAACAACTGGAGGAACTTCAAAAGAAGTTAAAGGAAGAGAAACAAACATCCTCCAGTTTCATAAAACAGAAACAAGTTGCTCTAAGAGAGAAAGACGAACTGCAAATAAAGATTGAAGAACTTCAACAAAAATTAGAAGTACAGCAAGTCAAAGATCACAAGAAAGTATCAGGTCAGTGTGAATACAATTCAGTCAGGTATATGTGTTTGTGTGTGTATGTATATAGTGGGTATGGTGTTTTGATAATTTCAACCACAGGAACTTGCTGTGGTTTACCACTTAAACTAGTAATGTCTTAATTGAGCAGCCAATTCCATTGCCTGCATGTGCAAGCTGGAATGCCCTCTCATAGCTGAGATCTATTTCCTTCAGCAACCTCCTTTGAATACAGGAATTGCTTATCCCACAGACCAATATGTCCCTGATGATAGCATCTAGGGAATCACCAAAGTCACAGTGTTCCCCAATTACTCGTAACTCTGCAACATAAGTTGCTACTGATTCCTCTTATTACATAACATTACATAACACTAGAAAGGAATCTTAATCAACAATGCATACATTTCATAACCTTACATAAAAAATGAAAATATCGTATAGTCCAAAATTCTTGAGGGCTATAAAACTCATGGATTTCATGATTTTTTCAAGATTCCGTGAAAATCAAATTATTATGGTACAAGATGGCAGATAGCATTAATTCACGAAAATTAAGTCCACAAAATAGATTTTTAGGCAAATTTGCAAAATATACAGCCCTCTAAAATTTTGCGCTATACGGTAAGTACATCAATAATAATCAGAAAATAATAATTTATTATAATACAATAAGTGCCTATAGGAAAATAGTTATAGTTAAGCTGTACATTAAAATTATCAGTTATAATAACACATGCATCTCTTCTTAAAATTTAATCATTGGACTCGCGTAGGCGGGTACTAAGCAGTTGGGTTGTCATTGCCCTCGCCCACGCCGTAGGCGTATAGGCGAGGGTACTGCGATCGTCCTGTCAGTGTGTGTGTGTGTTCGCAAGATGGCGTCTTCTTCTCTGTTTT